ATATTTTTAACAAATGTCCAGCTTCTGGAAAGTATGTTAATTTCTGCACATCTAAAACAAAATGATTACATTTTGACTCTTCAAAAATGAGGAATGTGGGCCTTGATATTCCCACATTCCTCATTTTTCCATGGAGATGGGAAAGTTTCTCATCCTTAACATGCCAGGTAGTGATGATGGTGTCATCAGCCGCCAGCTACATGTTGGTGAACGAGCTGGAATAAAGCAAGCAGCTTAAATAGACCTCCCACAGTGGGATGCTAGCGATCTGGGCTAGCACATCCAGCTAGAGCCGCTTCACTGAAATTTCTCGTTGCCTTATTTAACGCACATTAAAGACCTTCTGGCCATTGAGTGTCTAATTTCAGGGCAACAAATAGTGAAACTCATCTTGAATCCAAACCGCTAATCGAAGCGCTGGGCACCATTGACATCAGAGGGTGACTTTAATTTGGAGGAGAATTGTTTCAGATGATACAAAATATGCAGCAGCTCAAATAATCGCTCACTACAGGCAAGCAAGATGGAGTAGCTTCTCTGTATGCACAGCAGGTTCATGCCTTAAAGTAGACCACACCAGACAAAACAAAAAGCACAAGCAGAACTGAACACCTGGTAAATTTCTATAAGAATGCTTGAAGGCGTGTGTATGAAAATGACAAACGCCCTCATAGAGCTCTTTCAGCAGAGGAAAGCGTGAAGTGCTTTACATTCCTGGTAGATCTAGTAAAATACTCTGGACTAACGCAGCACATCATGACATGACTCCACAAATTGTTGTTAGCTGTGGAAACTTCACAAAAGACCTTCAACAGCTTTGATTCTGAGTTTTAGATTGTTTGACTCAATGCAGTGTGAAAGTGAAAACTGCAGCAAAGGCTGGAGTTTTGTTCCCTAGTTGAAGCAAGTCTACTGGACTATCAGTTTAGCAATCTAGTCAACAGTCTTAATCTAAGTTCAAGTTTGATTTCTAAGTATTTTCATCTTGTTCTGTGTAGAAATTCACTTTTTTCACTCTCTGTGTCCCACATGCCTCCCCATTTGCCTCCTGGCAGGGTTAGCGTTGACCAGCGATCCTAGTTTTCCTCTCCATCACTCTGTCTCCTTCTCCCGGCTTCGTGTGTCAGGTGATTCGGCCCAGAGGCGGGCAGCCAGCCATGTCCATCAGCTCCTTCCATCAAGCGCTTCGCCAGGTGGCGGCGAGAGGATGACGGGCAGCAGAGGCGCAGCAGATGTTTTGCAGGAGCTGATATGTGTTCACGTCCATGAGGGATGTCATTATGCGGTGGACGGAGGAACGTGTAGCTGATTAGTGCCTTATTAATTCAAGGACACAGGCTCCAGGAACACACACTGCCGCCTCTCTGGCATGTGGCGCTGATGGTTTGCCAGTCGCAGACAACATGAGTGTCTTAGAAAGATAACCCCTCTTCCTAATTAACTGCCTCTCTGTTCCTCAACACTCAGCTCCTTCTGAAGTTCCATAAAGCTCTGAAATAAAAGCAGCCTTTTGCCGTTTTAAGGGCTGGCTTCCTGTTGGTGCCCAAAGGGGAGAATTTAGAGGTACAGAAGGTTTGTGGATTCATCTCCCATGGAGCCTGTGCTGTGCTGGGGTAAGTAAATAAAGCAGCATCTACCTGAGGGCATGTGAGGGAATTGAGGGTCTGGGACGGCACAGTGAACCGAGGACAATGGCTAAACTGGTGATGTTAGAATCTCCCCTGTGCTCCTGTTTTTCTCTTTTTCTCCCTCGATTCCCTTCTGCACAACGAGCCTCAACACGTGATGTTTTCTCCACAATACACATTGACCTTGTCATATACTCTTATTTGTTCCTGTTTTCTTTTATTCTCCTTCCACTGCTTTTAATCACGTGTTTGTTTGATGCAGTAAACTGTGGCCATGTGTGTATTTGCTGCTGTGTTCAGTGGTAGGAGCCAGAAATAGGCTCAAAGTTATGAGAGCAATAAAGAAAACACAGGCAGCGGTGAGGAGGTTAATGGACCTCAGGATGGTTTTAGCCAAACCAAAAACCAGCAGTACGCTGTTCCTGTGAGGAAAGAGCAGCTTTCACCTGGAAAATGGGAATCTGGAGCTGTTGTTTGCAAGAACAAATGCTAAAACTAGTGGTAAGACTTGATTTATTTTTTTTATGTAAGCTCATTTTAGGCTTTGTGATTAATTAATAATCATACTACAATCAAAAATACAAAACCTGTTCAATTCAAAAACTAAATTATGGACTAAATATATATATGAGCCCAACAACAAACATACTTACTGTTTTTAATCTACTATTTAGGTTATTCAACCATCAGGTTGCTGCAACTTGCCGTTACATCTGTTGGGTTTCAGAAATCCCTGATAACTCATGGAGCGTCTTTGAAAAAGATTTATTTAGAAAAGTAAACACTGATGTTAGCTTTGGGTCGTCTATGCTGTTGCTACATGTTTAGCATTGAGATGCTATTTTAGGCTAGCTCTGTTTAGCACAACTTCAACACAATAATCTTTTCCAGCATCCAGTCAGATCGTCTTTTTGAAGCCAACATTTTAATGAAATGAATTTATCAATAACACCCTCAAGATTTTTGACACCCTGTGTTATGCTGTCTAATTTTTATTTTTATAATTTCATTTCAAACTATGTATCATTTTAGCTTTGGCTTTTTTTCTACCATCTTCTCCAGTTAAGAAAACGAATATCAATCCAATACACTCTCTAGAAATTACTTTGTGATAATGTCACAAAGCATATACATCTTGCCTTCAGGCAGTTTGTTTGTCTGAATTTTTAGCTTCGGTTTTCTGTTCTTGGACTCGGTTTGGTCTTCTGCTGCTGTAGCCCAGCTACTACCTCGGTTGCATTCACTGATATGCCCCCTACCTTTGTTATCCCATTTGAATTTGTGTTTGCTTTTTATCATCTCGAATGAGTTTGACAATTTTCTTCTGGCCTCTGAAATGAAAAGTGAACGGGTTTTGTGTGAGAAACGTTTTGTGTTTCCTTCTCACTTCAGGGGAATTGAAGTGGCATCACAAAGTCACTTCAATTCCCTTCCTTTGCTTTTCTGATTGAATAGTTTGAACTTCGGTTAGTCATCTTCACTGAGCCTGTCTGAATGAATGACTCACTAATTTATTAATTCAACAAGCGTCGGCTCAGTTGTGCAGAAAATGCACTAATTTTATTTTTTAAATAGGTTTCGCCATCATGCTTGAAGGTTAACCTGGACAGTCTGAGATGTATTTGCAATGAGGTCCTCTGCTTTCTTTAGCCACATTTTGCAACACATACAAGTAAACCCCAGAAAAACTAATGAAAGTGGAACCAAAACCATACAAGGTGCCACACTTTGACCTGTACAACAGCAAAACTAAATCAAAGTTATGAGAACAAAGTAATAAAATTACAAGAATAAAGTAGTGGGACGATGAGAATAAAGCTGCATGAGAATAATTTGAAATAATACAGGAATAACGTTGTAGTATTTCCGTAATTCTTTATAATTCTCAATATTGTATATTGTAATACTCTTAATATTAAAATTTTAATTTCAAATGACTTTTTTGTGGAATATCATAACTTTATACCCTAGTATACCTTTTTTTTTTTTTTTTTACCTTTTTTATGGGAAGCTTAAAAATGACAGAAAATAAATTGAATGTTTTCATTGCCAGACTTTCTTCTCCTAATTTGATTTTTTTTACATTTTCTTTAGTTTCGCTGTGATACGCCGTCGTCCTGACGAAAAAACTGCAGTGCAGTTTCCAAATATAAATGGTGCAATTTCAACCAAACTCCCGTCTGGAAAAGATTTAAACAGGTCTGATATGAGCAGAGCTTCCTGCCGAGCGCTCGACTCTCCCTGCAGCATGACCAACCTGTCATTTGCATTAAAAATAACAAAGCTCTATAGAGGGAGACGTGCCTTGTGGTGGTTTTTCCTTCCCCTCGCCCTCTGTGAGTTTCCCTCAGTTAACTCTGCCTTTGGCTGGCAGTGGGAGCTGACAAGCTCTGGTGTCAGGTCCAGTTTAGCACTTGAAGGCAGTGCGTGTCACAATCACAGGCCGCTTTCTCTCCCTCTCTCTCTGCAGGCTGCTTCACTCCCAAGGTGAGTCATGCCTCGTCACCACTCCTATAGAGACATAAGCCTTCACATTGTGCTGGTAGACGGCCGGGACCTAATAGCCCTGCCGTGATTTGTCAGGGAAAATACTCATCTGCTGAAGAGAGCAATCACTTACCGTGGAGCAAGGTTAAAGTGTTTATGTGTTGGAGGAGAGTGGGATTCTAAATCCACGCAGCCTCGGCATGTCTCGGTGTTTGTGCAGCCAGGGTTCAAGTAGACCTTAAGTGATATTGGCAGTTTGAAATCGAGGTAAAGTTCCTACGGAAATAAAGGAAGAAGTTAAAAACCATGTTTTACTTTTCTTTTGTTGGTTCATCTGTTGGTTGTGTTTATTCCAAAAAACTCCAACCAGTTTTCTTTACGTTGCTAAAGAAAAGCAGCCTCAGCATGATGCTGCCACCACCATGTTTCACATGGGTGTGGTCTGATCAGTGTCACATACAGTCCCTGTCCTTTCTGGTTTAGTTTGATGGTCGGTGTGCAGATGTGCAAATGCACAGCACAGTTTTTAGCTTTTATTTAAGAAGCTAAAAGGAAAGCAGTGCAATATTCTACTATTATTTCATAATTATCCTCTACTTCATGCAGGTGCCGCAATGTTTTAAGTTCAGAAACCAAAAATTTCTAATAAAGGCCGTTGGCGGTTGGTTTGGTGTTTGCACACGCTTATATGTGGTTAAAGGCAGGTGAGCGAATATTTTGGTATTATAGTGTATACTCTGACTACCAAAGAAAAACTAAATTGATGGACCTTATTATTTACAAAAAGTCAACATAAATGTATTGAAATCTTTGCTGCAACGCACGGTAAAGACCCGTTTATTGCACATTTGTGATCAAGCCGGTGTTTGCTTGTCCTGTCTCTAGAAGGAGTTCCTGACAGCGACGACTGAAAAGGACATCTTTGACCATCTGGGCCTTGAGTACATCGAGCCTTGGCAGAGGAATGCGTAGGCCTCCGCTCCTCCCTAGATGGATGGTACCCTGTGCGCACATCAATGATCATCCCATCTGCTTGCTGCTCTCAGGCCTCTCCCGTGATTTACTTTCTAACTGCTTCTGATTCCCGTGTCTCCTTTGTGTTGTTGTTGCTGTTGTCGCCTGAATTACACGCTGATGCGCGATTCATAATTCATAATTCATAATTCGCTCTTGTTCGCTATTGTCTGGCAGAGAATAAAAAATTATCCCATACCATTCATGGCCTGCTTGTGTCTAAGTATTGTAATCATGGGCAGGACAAAGAGGCAAAACAGCCGCCGTAGGAAAATCGCCCGCAGTGTCTGAGAAGATGCAGGAGACAGGGGAGCGGTAACAGGGTTGACCAGTCAGAGAAGAAAAGGATGAGGGAGAAAACAGGAAACGAAGAGAGAGGCGAGGGGGAGGGGAGCTTTTTTGTCAAGCAAAATGTTGTAATCACCCTCCTCCTGGCAGGAAAGTGCTCAGTGTGAAGCTGAGCCAGGTCTCCGGGGGACTGGAGAGGCGGGTAATGAGCATCAGATAGAGGAGTGCTTCGCGTCGCATTTAGCTTCCATTTAAGCTTTCGTCCACAGGAGATCATTTAGCTGACATTCCCCAATCCGAAGACCCGTAGTCTCAGCTCATTGTTCCACAATGAATCCCTTTCCCCGGGTAGTCGGCTGAATTGGAGGTAATCAGCTGCACTGGGAAATCAGGAAGAATTCAGACGGAAGTTAAATGAGTCCAATGAACACATGCATAGATCCTGGCACAGCGGATTCATTATCCCAGTGCTTCCACTGATGCTGCTACATGCATTGTGATTGTTTTTATGAATTTTGTCCTTCTTTATCAGGATTCACTGATGAGTAAAGTCGATCGATCCTAACCAGACATGTCAGCAATGACAACGCTGGAAAATCAAGTACTTCTTCCACTGGTAGCTTATTTAACTTATAACAAAACATCTTCCCATGTTGTAAATTAATTTATCTGCTAATAGAACTTTTCATCAATATTAAGGAATCATTTACTTAAAACAAGCATTTATATCTTGCTGAAAAGTTACTTAGTAAGTTATCTTATAAGATCACTTGTCTTTTTTCAAGTGATCTAAGAAACTCGACCAAAAATACTCTTTAAGATTTTGTGTTGTTCCATAAAACAACTTATCTTGAAATAAGACAGAACTCATTTAAAAGTACATTTTCAGCGAGCAAAAAGCTTTGATTTAATGTTTAAAATGGAAAACAAGTTCTTGTTTCAAAGGGAGATTTTTCCATTCATAACAAAACATTTTCTCCATGTTATAAGTAAAATATTCCCCATAGAGGAACTTTTATATTTTAAATCAGTATTAAGGAATATGGTTAAAAAATAGCAGCTTTTCTGCAGAAAACCTCAGAACTGCTGAAACACTGAGTTTCTTTAAATCAAGGCTAAAAACCAAACTGTTTGTTACTTTTGAGGTTTAATGAATGAACAATGACCAGCATATTTGATGTGTGTTGATGGTTTTAGCCCTTGACAAAATGTCTATTTGTTTTCACAACTCTTGACTACATGACACATTTATGATGAAAGCAAAACAATTTTCTTGTCGACTTAAATTGCATTTTCAAGTCAGCCGGTGGACTTCAATTTTCAAGTTAAACCTCCTTCAAATGTTTCACAGTGTGTACAAATTAAATTAGTTTGTCTCACTTCAGATTTTCTAAAATACTTGGGTCGGATTTTGTGGTTTTGCAGTGGAGATGCAGCCTCCTGTTTCCAACTCAACCCATTTTACCATGACGCCTGGCCCCCAGTTTATCCCATGGTGCCTCAACAAGAGCAGAGACAGATGAGAGCAAAGCATTCTTGTGAATAACCCTATTTAAAGATCTTTAACTAGAACAGTCCTCCACTTTGAGGACTTGACCCAGGCCTCAAACGCTCCACCTCTTCCTTCTTGCTCCCTCTTGGTCTCTTGCTTTCTCTCTCTCCTGTGGTGTAACTCACCTCTTTCAGCTTCACAAGCACAAACAAACTTTATAGCTTCCACGCTGCAAGACTGTGAGCTCCAGCACCCTGATGTTCTGGGTTTTTCTATTATTATTATTATTTTTTTAATGTCGGAACTTTATAACGAAGGAAAATCCTGCTTTTGCTTCGCTGAAACCTCCCCAGAGTGAAATGAAACCAAGCTGACCTCAATACATTTGCATCAGTCCTGCTCTCTTTTCCCTAATTGTTTTTCAAGTGCAGATGGGATCTCCCTCCACGTTCACATTGAACATTCGTTAAAAATAAAATTGTCATATTTTGGTTGTAGAAACTAACACAATTCCTGAAAATTAAAGAATTAAATGCAATATAGAAACAATCTGCTCCCAGCAGAATACTTATAGAGCAATTCACTTGTGTGATATTACATGTTTTTCAGTTTTGCCCTAAACTATTAGACACAACAGGAGATAGCTCTGAATTACATTTGATCTTTTTTACATATTGTCAAATTAAATCCACACTTTTTAATGCATTTCAAAAGTGATTAATGTGACAGAAAAACCCAAAGTAGTGTGCAATCGTAGAGCAGAAGGAAAGGCTTTCAAAATTTGCCTGTCATTTTATTCTAGTATAAATCCTGATGTTCGAAGGTCTCAGAGGTTCGTTAGAGGAGATTAGAGGACAAACAGCCTTATGAAGACTTAAAAACACAGCAGGGAGGAAGTTGCGGAGGAATCAGTTTATAAAAAAATATCAGAAACTATTCGACATCTCACAGAACTTTCTTAAGTCCGCCATTAAGCAAAGCACTTCAGGACAGAGCTATATAGTTAATCTAGCAGAGAGGACAAGCAGACTATTGTTACTCTGAAGGAGCTGCTTAAGGCCAGGGTTAGTCACAAATCTGGCCTTCGTGAAAGCATGGCAACAAAAAAGCACTAGCTGAAAGAAGAAACTCTCATTTCTTATGAACTCTGTGGGGTTGAGCCAAACTTTTGAAATCGGTTCTCATGTTCACAAGATATGTGATAAAAATTGTGCTGTTTTTGTTCTCATCCTCATCCAGAACTCGCCTGCTGAACTTTTTGCTCATTTCTCCATGTGAACTTATTGAGTGATTGGTGTGAATTTTGTGGGTGTTTGTTGAGGGGGGAGGAAAACCCAACTGCTCAACGTCCAGATGGCAGTTTTTCCGCCCCTGAGCAGAATGGGTAGTTTTTAGGAGCAATTGTAAGATTATATGAACGCAAACATTAAACTCCCGCTTCTTGGTAGGTTTAGGCCCCAAGCAGCGAGCTATGGCTGAAATCTTAGCCTGGTGCTAAGATGTTAGTATTGGCTAATGAGATGTTAGCATCCTAGGCCACTGCTGTGTTTTTAGTCTTAGCAAATGCTACGATTGTATTTTTCTGACATGAGAATATAAAATGAGATATTCCAGCTCATCAATCATTGTTTTTATTTGTGAACTTGTGTAAGGGCCATTACTGAAAACAGCGAACATGCACTGGAAGTTGCTCTGGTCAGATGAAACCAAAATATCTTTTTGGCCTTGTTGAACTTAGAGGAATAAATTTACTTGGCTCGTTTATTTTCCTCTAATCTCCCGGATCCAGAAACTCCACATGCAGGAGCGGAAAACATAGAGAACAACCATTCAACATCAAACTTCAGACATATCTAGAGTTTTATCCAGAGAATTCAATGCATACGAAATGTCACATCAGCATTACTCCCAGATTATCAAGAAATCCAAACACATAACAAAACATACAATTACCTGCAACGAGTTGGAAAGGAAAACATAATAGGAGAGACACAAGAATGCATTCTTGGGAATTGCTCTCACGGCTGCAAACAAAACAATTCGCAATTCTGCTGTAAAACAGACATTTTATAAGAAGGTGTATTCCCTCATTTAAATATATGCATCTGAAGGTGTGTCCTCCTCTTGTAGGGCTGTTTAAAGTTAACTTTATTACCTTCTTTGAGACCTGTTCAAACCCAAAAGCAAATATATGGAGAGAACAAAGGTCATTCTCAAACAGGGTCTTCCCGTACCAGTCTCTTCCTTTAAACACTCCAGACCAAAATTTATGCTCCAGCCAGAGACCTGGTGGTTTTTCTGCTTCAGCGATTCATCAAGAAACTGATTCCTGTTATAAACACACTGACACAGAAATCTGGTGTCAGATGATAACTGTGAGTTTGGATCTAAAAATTACAGGATTATCTTCTTTTAGAAAAAACTCTTAGAATACCTGAAATATTTTACTTCTAAAACTTTAGTTTCCTAATCCTGTTCTAAGATTAGTAATCTAAGATGCATGCAAATTAGTATGGTTAGACCCTAACTAGTTCAGAACATGCTGTTAATAATTTAAGAACATATCTTAATACATTTGATTATACTTGTAGAATAATTTTCTAAAGGTTTTAGTGTTTTACTGAACTCCTAAACAAATGCCAAAGAATTTGACTCATCTTGTCAGACAGACAGACCCACTCTGACCTCTGACCTATCCGCTAGTACAACACTCTTTCTGAAGGCCCTGTTTAGTAATTTACGTAAGTTCAGAAAGTCAGCAGTTGTTTTACTTTGAATCTTTATCTAAATCTACCTAACCTAAAATCTACTCAAAATATTCATGCTACAGCTAATATTTTATATGCACAAAGGTTAACTGTTTCTAAAATTAAAATAACCAAACTTATACTCCCAACAGCCTCAATGCAAAATGCTCTTTAAAATGCCCACAATCCCTTCATGCCTTCTGTCGAAAGACAGCAGAAAGGCTGCATTCAAGCTTCTAAACACGCAGGAAAAATTCATTCCAAAGGCCGTCTGATAAAAATGTTTGGAGCATCGTCACCCTGGATTTAGTTCAGGCTAGAAGTAATCAGATGACCAGCATAAATGTTAGCTCCAGATCTCATAAGTCAAGCACCACCACAGCACAAGTACAAAACGTAGAGCTTGAGGGTCCTTTAGAAAAGCCGGTGGCACATTGAATCAGCCACTGGGCCACAATAGAGACACACTGTAGCAAAAAACACTTTCTGAAGGTACACAACAGGAATCCTCTAATGGCTTCTTTATTGCACCTTGGTGCAAGCTATATTTATTGCACCAAGGTGCAATAAATAAGCCATTAGTGGAGACTGGCACTGTGCAGACTTCTTTTGTATTTTTGCTACAGTTGGATCTGAGGTGAGCAATTATTCTCAAG